AGTTTTGAATGTATTGCGATGAAATTTTAACATGAATAAAAAAAATTTAAGACTTATGAGCTGAAGAAAGAAAGTAAGATTAGGGTTTCAATTTCTTGTTTCTTGATAGAAATGAACCTTCAATGAAAGCAAAATCAAAATCACTGCTCTCATAGGATCTCCTCATTCCCTGAATGCGAATGTATGGAGTCCTTTTAATTATTTCTTTTTTGAAAAGTCCTCATCATTACTAATTAGACTTGCACTGCTAACTTGTGGTACTAGACAAGCATACCAAGGAGTCCGCTTGGCAATAGAAGTATATATAGGAATCGTCAGCATCACTCGGATTTTTGGACAATTTTATTCGTGCGAGGAATAGAAGCTCAGTATCGGCGATTTAACAATCCATGATTAACTTTGAGCCATGCTATTCCTTTTAATAAAAAATTAATACCAGAAGCAGCCAAACCATAAAAGTAGATAGAAAGTAGATTTTTTTGCTACCTGCGGAAAATGTGCGAATTTGGTGAAAATTTTTAGATGAAATCATTACAAAATAAAAAATGAACAATTCCGCTTGAAAATGAAAATGATGAATAATTGTAAAAATTTTCAAATATTTGACATATAAATTAATTTTATTGAGCAACAAAATAACTAAAAACTGATGAAAAGCGGTATTTAAAAAAGGAATACAGCACTGTTCTTAGATCGTTCAACTTAAATTGTCTTCTATAAATAGTGAAAATTTTTCAGAATTTTTCAGAATCGACTTAAGCAATTTTAGGAGAATTGCAAATGCTTTTCCTGCTTTTCATTTGTGTTAGTTCTTTTCTTTTATAATTTATAAAATAACAAATAAATATAAATAAAATAAATAAATAAGAATAATGAAATAATATTAAATAATATTATAAAAATTTAATTTTTAAAAATAATAATTTTCAAGAAAAAATAATAAAAAGAATTCTATTTATTTATTTATTTATTAATATTTTCATTCTCAAATGAAAGTGCTTCAGTTTTCTTACCTTCTCTAAAAGCTTCATTAATCAGTCAATTGAAATTATTCCGGGTTCCTTTTTTTTGAAAAAAAAGGAAGGATGTTCCATTTGCTTTTCTGGATCATTCGAGTTTGCTTTAAAATTTTTTCAGATTTTAACCATTTCTGATGCACATAGGCAAAAATTATGCGGTAAAAATGAAGTTAGAAAGAAATGCGGTGGTTGTGAACTAAAATGTGGTCAAAGTAAAGAAGTAAGTTTCAAGGAAAAATATTATGCAAATATTACTTTGTTAATTAGTTTGGAGGTCAAAATTGACCTAAAAATAAAAAAAATTCATAACTTCATAACCTCGAATAGTAATTTCGACAATAAAATAACTCTTTTAAAAAATTAAATTTTAAAATTTAAATTAAATTCAAATTTCAAATTTGCTTGGCCGATACGATTTACAACCTAATATCTATTATTAAAGGTTTTTTTAATTTTTCGATGGACAAAATTTGTTTGAATTTTAAATTTTCAGACTCCGTGCCCATACATATGTCGGCTCAATGAGTGCTTCTGCTCACCTCATGCCTATCGTCGAAAGAAAGATGGGAAATGTGTGCTCATTAGTGAATGCCCTAGGCGCCATAAATAAGAAAATAAGAAAGTCGGTATTGGATAAAATTGAAAATTGAGGATTGAATCAGATATAATAGAACTAATAGAACTAATTTATACAAAAATAGATTCAATTAGCCTTCAATTTATCTAAAAATTTTGATGAACAAATAAATCATAAAAAAAAAATATTTTGTAATGTAATATTTTGCATAACATAATAAAAAAATAATATTTTATATTTTTTCATGATTCGCTATGAAAATTTCATAAAATTTTCTATGCTAAAATTTGAAACGTTCAAGTTTAAATTCAGGTGGAAAAACAAATTACAATACTAATCAGAATGCCTCAGTGGTTTTTGCTTTCATTTTGGACCATCTGAAGTGGTGTTTCCACGGCTAATAGGGGCAAAGCATGTCTTTTAAAAATGTAGTTTATCCTAGACACCTATATTCACCTATATTTCTATCTCTAAATGACTCCCTAGCAGGATTTGACCGGAATTGAATAAGCTATCGAAGAGAGAGTTAAGCCTAATCTAACCAAAAATAATAGCACTCCTAAAAAAAATGCTCACAAATTAAAAGAATTGATCATTATCGAAATAATACACTGACGAATAATGGATGAAAATAAACGTTTTTGCTAGAGAACCACTTTGGTAATATAATGTATAAGCTGAAGTGTGTTTATAGCGATTTTGCCTTGATGAGTTCTCGCGATAGCCGATGGATAGGAAAAAACCATCCCGCATGCCCATAGGCAAAAATATGAATTAAAATGCCAAAACTATTGCAATCCCTCTAAAAACTATAGAATAATTTTAGAAAACATAGAGAATAAAATAAATAATTTTTTTGTAGTTATGGAAAATGAATTAAGGCAACGTGAACCGACGTCTTAGCAAATATATTTTATTACTAAATGAAAAATAACTATTTTCATGATAAGCAAAAAAAATTGTATCAAATTGAAAATATGGAAAATGTATGAAAACTGGAAATGTTTTAAGATTTTTTTCATTATTCCCTGACAAATCTATTTCAAAAAATATTGCGAAGAAAATTTATCATTAAATCTGAGTAATGTTATTATTTTTTAACTAAAAATAAATAAAATGATTATTTTTTTGATAAAAAATATTTTATTTTTTGATAAATTTGAAAATTTCGATAATTTAATAACATAAATATAATATTTAATATAAAATTTTTTGAAGCTTTTGAAATAATAATAGTGATAAAATTAAAAAGTGTTATAAAAGCGGTTTAATTTTTCCTAACTGGATTAGTTAGGAAGAACTAGTCCTTCAGCAACAAGGAATTTTGAATTTCATGATCGACTTTATTCCGAGTCAGAAATCGAGACAACGGACCAATTGATTCATATTTTCTTATTGTTTCCATTATTTCACATTAAGTACCAATGAGAAAGAAACGATCGCCAGAATTGACAAATTTCAAAAAAAATTAATATAGAAATATTTCGAATTATATTAATGGCAATGAAAAAATACTGATGAAAGCAGATTTTCCAATTTGGTAAATGATTTTATGACACTTTTTTGATTAAAGATGATGGGAGCCTAGCTAAACGATTCCTAGCAAATATTTCTTTCTAATCGTATTAGCAAGCAACAGAGTGAATTGGCATATGCAAAATTATTACTTATTTATTTACTTATTTTACTTCATTTACTTATTCGAAATCGTATAACCGTATTCAGTGTAGCAAGTTCGAATTGTTCTTAGCAAAGAAATTCTCAAAGAGTTTCCTGGGAACTTGTGAAAGTTCAAGCTTCAAAACATTACGAATCTTAATTATTCGCTAAAGCAAAGCATAAAATTCAGCAGCAACTATCATCAATGGGAAACAAGAACATTACTAAATATTCTGAATACACTAAATAGACATGCTGGAGTCTTTCGACTTGTAGAGCTCTTTCGACAAAGCATGATATGAGGACTTGTGACACGCATGAAAACGTTTCCAAAACCAATGCATTTTCATATTCGAACATTATATTTTTGTTCAAAACTTTTAGGTGTAAATTATTGCATTGTATTCGATTTTTATTTATGGCTTCATGTTGAGAATCAATGGAAAAAAAAATTGGACGATCATTGTTCTAATCAATTAGTAATATATAAATATATAAATATATTTATATAAATATATAAATATTATAATATATAAATAATATCATTAAGTTCATTAAGTTAAACTTGAAATCTCTAAACATTGATAAATACTGTTTATTTTATAGTAATAACAAATAGTGAACGTTATTTCGGCGATAAAAAAACACTGTTTTCTGGAGTGGAATCCATTAAAATAGTGCTTATAGTTACAATAACAAATTCGAGGTTTCTGCAAGAAAAAAATTGCGAATTCTATTTTTAGCACCATCCATATGCACAGAAATCTATCGAGGAGATTTGTGCTAAAATATAGCTTCTTCAATGAAATACCATTTGCATTTTATAATATAGGTTTCACTTTTTAATAAGGGAACGATTATTCGTCACCATTTCAAATTATTCAAAGAATTTGTGCTTAAATCGAATCCTTTCAACAACAAATTCAAAAAAAAAGAAAGAATGGAACTAATGAAAGGAATTCAACAATTGCAATTTGCTAAGTAGCAATGTTATTGAAAATGGAAACAAAAAAGCAAAGCTTCTTTTAGTTTGTTTACAATGAAACGAAGAAAGAACAATTTATTTAAAAAAATAATTTTTATTATTATTTAAAATAATAATAAAAATAATTCTTTCGCTTTTTAAATTATGTATCGCCTATCCATTTTTTTTGAGATATTTTTACTTTAATTCTAAAAAAGTTCCATGAAATTTGAGATTTTGGAATTTAAAATTTACTTTTAAGTCACCTGCAGTATATAATTTAAAATAAATAAGTTCGTATCGTGTTGAGCTTTGGCTGAACAAACTAGCCTTAGGGCTACGATTTCATTTCTGGCGGGAGTAAATCTAGCGCGAAAAATAAAACGAAGTTTTTATTACCAAAAACCCTTTCGTATTTCTATCCTTCATTGATTCTAAGCCATTAAATAATTGAGCCAACAAAATCATAAAATTGTTTTCGTTGTTACATGAAAATATTTTTTGCTAAAAAGAATAAAGGAAATTTCACGAAATGTTGTTGACGAAATTGTCGAAAATAATTTTTTTGGAACAATTTCAAATGAAAATAATGACAAATAATTGTAAAAATGTTAAAATATTTGGCAATAAAATCAATTTCTCTTCATAAAATACCAATAAAAATTAATTGGGAAAAGAAGAATAAATAAACTACAACACCAACAACATTCGACATTTTCTATAAATAGTGAGAAATTTTCGGAAATCAGTAAAGTAATTTTAAGTGACTCGTTGCATTGCGATGTTTCTACCACTTTTCATTTTTGTTAGTTCATTTTTCACTTCATTATAAAAATTATAATAAAAATTATAATAATTATTATTATTTAGAAATTAATTCTTAGTGAAAAATATTGAAAATAATTAAATATTTTTTGTAAAGCACATTCAATAATATTTTCGTTTTTAACTGGAAAACTTATTTCGAAATCTTTACGGAAATTAATAAGTTGTTTGGAACCATTTCTAATTCCCTAATTTTTTGGAGAAGGTAGAGAGTTTTATTCGAAGTGTTTTAAGATTGCTTTGAGGATTTATTTCAGGTATTAACAATTTGTGCTCTATACGGTGATAAGGAATGCGGTAAGAACGAAGTTAAAAGCAATTGCGCTGGCTGTGAAGTAAAGTGTGGTCAAAGTGAATTCGTAAGTTTCAAAGAAAAACATTATGCAAAAATATTATATTATTGGTTATATGTAATTAATGGGTCAGAGGTCAAAGTCAACATAAAAGTGAATCATACAAAATCCATGATCGCGAATAGCAATTTAGAGATTGCGGCAACTTTATTAAAGAAACTAAACCTAAATTTCGGACACTTCAAATGAAAATGACCTTAATTAACAGCTCAGTATTTGTGCTTATAGGATTTCTAATTTTTCTTATCTCCATAGATAATTTTGAACTAATTTTCAGGATCCATGTCCCGCGAAATGTCGTCTCGATGCATGTTACTGTTCACCTCATGCTTATCGCCGAAATGCAACAGGAGCATGTGTGCCCATTGCTGAATGCCCTAAAATGGAGAAAAGTTAGCAATTTTTAAAGCGCAAAGTTAAGAGATATAGTAATTGCGATGATTTAAACTAATATCTGAATAATTAGAAAATGGATTAGAAGGAAATAAGTTTAATAAGTCGGCAATTGATCATCTAATGATAAGATATAAGATAAGATAAATATATTTCCTCGCCTTCTTCTAGCAGTAATTTTTTGTTATTTTCGCTGACGGCTATGGTGAAACGTTTTTCCTATAGCACCTTCTCGTTATAAATATATACGAACTGCATTTCCAGTAATTTTGCTTTGACTTAAATGATTTGCTGTCGATGAATAGAAATCGAAGCCATGTAGTGTACCCCTCGACAAAAAAAAAGAATTTTGATGCCATAATTTTGATTATTTCTTTCAAAAAAAAGAAAACCTTATTTTGTGATTCAAAAAATATTCAGAGGAGAAGGAAAATGAAATCTATTTTCTTTGCAGTGATGCGAACGAAATTGAATTAAAACAATTTGTTTATGAACAATATTTTGAAAATGTTCTGTTAATGACCAAATGAAAAATAAATATTTTCATGATAAGCAAATAATTTGTATTCGTTAATAAATGATTTTTTTTTATAGTTTCTTGACGAAAGTATTAGAAAAAAAAGAAAAAAATTTATCATTGAAAAAATCTGAGCAATAGTTGACGGAAAATAAATGAAAAATGATTAAAATGATAAAATTATTTGAAGATATTAAAATGATAATGTTGATAATATTGAATGCAATAATGCAATAAAAATTAACAAATTATCGTATATCCTAATGTTTCCTTAAAAACGTGGCCCAAAAACGATAAAACTGGTTTATCTCCAATTCCACCGTTCCTAGATGAATCACAAGTTATGCCTCCGGATGACCTAAAATTTCATGGTAGCTTTACTTTTAACTACTGCCAGCAGGAATCGAGAGGACGTACCAATCGATCTTCCATTTTTCAATTACTCTGACAAGAATTTCCCAACATACTATCAAGCGATATGACTGCGCCGTTAAAGTGAAAGTATCCTTTAGATTTTTAAGGCTATTGATATGCGATTTTGGAATAATATGGCACGAAAAGTTGAAAAAATGTTAAAAAAATAAAAAAGCCATTTATAAAACCATTTTTTACGGTCATCCTAGAATCAGAACATTGTATATTTTAATATTTCGTTAAAACGAGGCAGTTTTGGTAATTTGGCAGTTCGGCAGCAAACAACTATCATTACAGGGAAAGCAAAGGCTACTACATTATGCTGAACAGTGTAGCAAGTTCGAATTGTTCTTAGCAAGTTTTCTTAAAGAATTTTCTGGGAACTTGTGAAAGTTGCTTCTGTTATATGTTGTCGGTACACTTCCAAAACCAATACCATTTTCATGATTGTGTTAGTGAGTTATTCGCTTTTCATTCTTTTTCAAGTAGAAAAGGCATATACTTACACTAAACCAGTGTTTACTAAACGGGCTCAAGCCTCTATATATTTTTTAAAGGTTTTCAGGTTCCCTACTCCTACTTTTACTAATCATATCTTTCCAAGAACTTTCATATTCTCTAAAGCCTTTACATTTTATTGCGAAGATGTTTATTGATACTATTTTTATTATTTTTAGTAAGAATAAGTAAATTTGAGCTGTCTATTGTATGTGCTTCAGCTGAGGAAAATAGGTAATCCAGTTATTCTAGTTATTTGATAAGAATAAGCCTATCATCGAATAGAAAATCAAGATCACTGCTGACGATCTTCTTGTATTTCGACCCCGAAGTAACCAAAATGGTTTGATTCTTATTTTTTTTTTTTTCAACAAGTTTATCACAATGAGGAATAGAACCTCAGCATAGGCGCTCCCAGTAAGAGGAAAATTTCCTATTGTCTATTGAAAAACAACTGTGACAAATGTTGACGAAATTCATTACAAATAATTTCAATAAAGCTTGATGACTAAAATATTTGGCATTTAAATCGCTTTTTTGCCACAAACCCTATAACCTATAAGCCAATAGAAAGTGAAGGAAGTAAAAACAATGTAAACTTTAGATTATTTTCTATAAATAATGCGAAATTTTCAGAAATCATTAAAAATAATTTTAAGTTCCATTGTGCTTTACCGCTTCATTGCAATGCTTCTACCACTCTTCGTTTGCGTTAGTTTATCTTTTCCTTATTTTCTATTATAATAAAAATGAATAATTTTTTTCTTATTAAAATTATTTAAAATTAATATTTTTAAACGAAAAATGCTGGGAATATTTTTTTAGACCACATTTGCTATGTTAATTGAAAAAGCTTCAGCCACAAAGGATTTTGCAAAATCTTCATGAGTACTAATCAACTGCTTGAAATCATTTGCGATTACTTAATTTTTTGGTTGACGGAAAGGAGTCTTTTCACTCTTTCGGACCTTTCTAGTTTGCTATGAAATTTATTTCAGATATTAATGATTTGTGCTGCGTACGCTGAAAAAAAATGCGGTAGGAATGAAATTAGAACTATTTGTGGTGGTTGCGAATTAAAGTGTGGTCAAAGCAAATTCGTAAGTTTTAAGGAGAAATACTGCACAAGCAAAATTTGATTAGGTCAGAGGTTAAAGATGACCCAAAGAAATTTCTATGATCTATAACAGCAATTTTGATACTACAACAATTTTTTTAAAAATTAAACAAAATTTGGAATAATTTAGAATTTGAACAAAATTTGGAATGATTTAGAATTTATATCTCAGCGGGAAATTTATTTTCAGGATCCATGTCCTGCAATATGTCGTCGAAATGCCTGCTTCTGCTCACCTCATCGTTACCGCCGGAATTCATCAGGGGCGTGTGTGCGCATTAGTGAATGCCCTAAAAGAAATACAAGTTAGTAACAATTGACTAAATTAAAAATTAAATTATATGAGATAAATATTATCCAAGCTAATTTCCAAATAATTAGGAAACGCAAAAAAAATTCTAAAAAAATTGGTAACAAATTTATCATCGACTGATATAATGATAAGGAGTTCTTCTTCTAAAGGTTCTTTTTTGCTACTGTCACTAACGACTAAGGTGAAGCCTTTTGCTACTTTAATCATAGATAGGCCGAAAGTAGCATAGAAATTGCTAATTTCCAATTAATATTTAATTTTAATTAATTATTTTTTATTTTTAATTTTAATTTTTTTTCATTTTTTTTTCTAATTTCTAACAATTTCCCTTTGCTATCATTGGATGGGAATCGAAGACGTTTAGCGTGTCCCTCGATAAAAATAAGAATTTGGATGTCAAAATTATTATAATTTCTTTAAAAAACAGAAGAAACCTGTAATATAAAAAACATTTGACATTAAATAACAGAAGGCAATTGAAATACAATTTTTTTGTAGTGACACGAATGATAATGGTTTGAAACAATACGAACGATATTTTCGAAAATGGTTGTCATTATTCACCAAATGGAAAAAAGATATTTCCATGTTAAACAAGAAAAATATATTCTTTAATAGATAATTTATTTATTTTTCCTAATTTCTTGACGAATAAATTTTAAAAAAAAAATATTGCGAAACACAAGTTGAATTGCCATTATCATTTAAAAAAATATAAACAATTTTATTAGTTAGAGTGAACAACGAAAAACAAATGAAAAATATTAATTAAATATTATTTAATGAAAATATTAATTGAAATGACAAATTTTTCGATGATATTTTAATGATATGACAATGGCGATAATGAAAGAAAGAAAAATGCGGCAAAACTCGTTTGTTGATAGCACCACTCAAGCGTTCCTCGTTCCGCCTAACAAACGTGAGCAAGAACCGCGCCATCGTTAAGAGCTGGATTTCATGACAGGTTTACTGCCAGCCATGAGCAAAAATCGAAGGAAACCCCATTCGATTTCCATCGCTCGGACAAAAACTTCTCACCATACTAATGGGTGATGGTACAAGCCAAATTAGAAATGGCAAATGCTAAAATCAATCAATTCACTTTGACAGATATGCAATGAAATTCTTCAAAGGATATTCGAGGCGTCTATAAAAATTCATTCAAATTTCCTTTAGATTTTTAAAATTATTGATATGCGATTTTGGAATGATATGGCATGAAAAGTTGAAAAAATGCTATAAAAAATAACCATTTTTTAACGGCCATCCTAGAATCAAAATATTAAAATATTGTATATTTTAATTTCGTTAAAACGAGGCATAAAATTTGGCAGCAAACAACTATCATTACAGGGAAAGTAAAGTGCTACTCCATTATGCTGAAAAGAGTAGCAAGTTCGAATTATTCTTAGCCAAGAGATTCTCAAAGAGTAATATGGGAACTTGCGAAAATTGCTTGTGTCACATTACCGGTTACCGGTGCACTTCCAAAACCAATACCATTTTCATTATTATGTTAATGGGTTATTCGCTTTTTACTCAATGGTAGAAAAGATATACACTTATATTATTCAACAAATAAGGAAGGTTCTGTTGGATCCATGATGATTCTCAAGAGTTATGTGGGAGAATGTTTCGATGTATATATTCTATTCCTTTTCCATTTTCTATTATTTATATAAAAAATTATTTTCTACATTTTATCATAGCCATGATAAGGAAATACATCCTTATCAAAATCTGGATTTCATGAAAGGATACTCCTAGTCGTAAGCACAAAAATTTGCTGAATATTTCGTTAATTTAAAACTTGCAATGGAATTGATATATTTTTCTGTAGGATAATTGGTAGCAAAAGCGATTTGGCGATTACTGCCATAGCAAATATGAATTATAAATCTTGTAGTTTTTTTTCAGTGCATTGAATGTCGATCAATAATTAAATAATATTTTTTAATAATATAATAATAAATAATATATTGTAATAATAATAATAATTACATAATATATAGCAATAGTGAGGTGCGACAAAAAAATGTTCATAATAAGAATTATTGAAATATATAAGAAAAATTGCTGCTCAAACTCCAATTCGCCGGCGCCAAAAAAGAATATATACACTGTTTTCTGGATTAGGTAACATTGAAAGTGCGAACGATCAAAAGCATCTCGTATTATCCGCAGGGTTTGTGGGAACAAAAACATTTCGTGCGTACAGAATGGCGTTTAGAAACCACACGTTTGAGTTCCTATAATGGAATAAAAACCTGCTCCATCTCTGCATATCCAGAGACTTTCTTGCTAAGTAATAAAGTAGAAAAGTGGAAATTTGAAAAAATAATATTCAGAAGAAGCAGAAACATTTCAATCTGAAATTAGAAAATCAGAATATCAAATAATTGTTGCTATCATTATTTATTGGGGTTTCTATTTTCAACGAAGAACATTTTGAAAAAATTTCATTTTCTATTTTTGGACTTTTCAAGCTTTTTATGAGCTAATTTTTTTGAGATTTATAAATTTCTTACTTATAAATTCTCGCAAAAATTTTCAAATTTTCAAATTCTATTAAATCTTTACATTTTTTAAAATTGACTACGACCAAGCTATAAATAAATAAAAAAATTTGAGTTGTGCTGAGTGTAGATTAGCTTAGGGCTTCGGTTATCAGTTACTTGATAGGATAAAAGATCATTACTGATAATTTCCTTCTCCTTCTTTGCACTTTTATCCCAAAGTAACTAACTCTCATCCTTTGATTTTTATTAATGTAATCGAATAAACCACAAAGTTATTGTTTAAGGAAAAAAGTTTTCTGTTTACTAAAAAACAATTGTGATAAATCGGAGAATAATGTTGATGAAAAATTGTCGCAAATAACTTTTCTGGACAATTTTGATTGAACGTGATTGAATAGAATATTTGGCATTTAAATCATTTTTCAGCCACAAACACATCCAATCCAATGGAAAGCGAATGCCAAAGAAAGTGCAATATAAAAAACTTAAATTAATATCAAATTAAATATCAAATTAATTTTTATAAATAATAGGAAAATTCGGAATTTCGGAATCGGAATTAAAAGTAATTTTAAGTTCCATTGTGCCCCATTGTTTCATTGGAATGTTTCTTCCACTTTTCATTTGTGTTAGTTTATTTGCAATAAAAATATAATAAAAATAATTTATTTATTTAAAATTAATAATTTTATACGAAAAATATTGGAAATATTTTTTCAAAGAAAATTTCTCAGAATTTCTCAAATTTCTCAGATTTTATAAAATCTTTATGAGCACTAATCAGCTGCTTCAATTCATTGCTAAGCCCTTAATTTTTTAGGAGACCAAAGAAAATTTTTGCCTTTTCTGGACCGATCTATATTTGAAATTTATTTCAGGCATTAACAATTTGTATTGTATGCGGTAATAAAAAATGTGGTAAGAATGAAATTAAAACGAATTGCGCTCGTTGCGAACTAAAATGCGGTCAAAGTATATACGTAAGTATCAGTGATAAGCATTAGGCAAACAACTATTAGGCAAATAAATATTAGCCAGAGATTAAACGTGGCCTACTGGTGACCTAAAGAATTTCATATAATCTCGAGCAATGTGATACGGCAACAATTTCTTTAAAAATTAAACGATAAACTAGATTTCTTAAAATACTTTAGACATGCAACCAAATCAAATATCTACATTTTTTTTATATATCTCGGTGCATAATTTTTTCTTTTTTCTGAATTAATTTTCAGACTCCATGCGCTGCGATATGTCATCGAAATGCATGTTTCTGCTCACCTCGTCGTTACCGCCGGAATTCATCAGGGGCGTGTGTGCGCATTAGTGAATGCCCTAAAAGAAATACAAGTTAGTAACAAACTGACTAAAATTATATGAGATAAATATGATCCAAGGTATATCCAAATAATTAGGAAATGCAAAAAAAATTCTAAAAAAATTGATTAACAAATTTATCATCGACTGATATGATGATAAGGAGTTCTTCTTCTTTTAAAAGTGCTTTTTCGCTATTTTCACTGGCGACTAAGGTGAAACCTTTTGCTGTCATAGATAGGTCGAAAATAGCATACGAATCGCTAATTTCCCTTTGCTATCATTGGATGGGAATCGAAGACGTTCACCGTGTCCCTCGATAAAAATAAGAATTTGGATGCCAGAATTATTATAATTTCTTTCAAAAAACAAAAGAAACCTGTAATATTTGACATTAAATAAGAGAAAATACATACAAACTGAAATACAATTTTTTTGTAGTGACACGAACGACAATGGTTTAAAACAATACGAACGATATTTTCGAAAAAATTGTTATTACTCATCAAATGAAAAAAAAAAAAATATTTCCATATTAAACAAGAAAATTGTATTCTTTAATAAATAATTTATTTTTCGTAATTTCTTGATGAATAAATTTTGAAAAAAAATATTGCGAAACACAAGTTGAATTGTCATTATCAATAAAAAAAAATCATTTAAAAAAATATGAATAATTATGAATTATTAGTTGGGATGAACAACGAAAAATAAATGAAAATAATAATTAAAATGACAAATGATAATAATTAAAAAGAAATTTTTTGATGATATTTTAATGATATGACAATGGCGATAATGAAAGAAAAATGGAGCAAAACTCGTTTGTTGATAGCACCACTCAAGCGTTCCTCGTTCCGCCTAACAAGTGTGAGCAAGAACCGTGCCATCATTAAGAGCTGGATTTCATGACGGGATTTCAGATTTCATGACAGGTTTACTCTCAGCCATGAGCAAGAATCGAAGAATACGCCATTCGATTTCTATCACTCGGACAAAAATTTCTCACCATACTAATGGGCAATGGTACAAGCCAAATTAGAAATGGCAAATGCTAAAATTAATTTATTTACTTACTAACTGAAGGATATGCAACGAAATTTTTCAGATGATATAATGATGTAGTTTGTGCGTCATCCTCAGCTATTTTTAAACTAT